GTTGGAGGGCAATTTTTTGTATATTATCGTGGATGAAACGACAGATGTATGCGGCAGGTATATAGCTAATTTAATGATTGGAATTTTGAACGAAAACTTTGCGAGAAAACCTTATTTAGTTGCCGTTAAAGAATTGGAAAAAACAAACAATTTAACAATAAGTCGATTTATACAAGATAGTTTAACAAACCTCTTTTTACCCAACGCTATACCAGTGAATAAAATAGTTTTAATGCTTTCAGATGCTGCGGCATATATGTTAAAAGCTGCTGTTAATTTAAAAATTTTTTATCCTAATTTAATTCATTGCACTTGTGTAGCCCACGGGGTAAATAGAATTGCTGAAGAAATAAGAAATCTGTTTCCGTTGGTAAATAATTTTATAAATTTTATGAAAAAAGTTTTTGTAAAGGCTCCGTTGAGGGTGCAAATATATAAAGAAAGACTTCCCGGTGTCCCTTTGCCACCTAAACCAGTAATTACAAGGTGGGGAACCTGGCTCGAAGCAGTCTTTTTTTACTTTGAACACTGCAATGAAATAGAATTAGTTATGTCAGAATTTGATGATGATATTTCCGAAGCCATTCGAGAAGCAAAAAAAATATTAAAAAATCCCAAATTGAAACAGGAACTCGGTTATATCAATGACAATTATAAATTAATAGTTACCACAATTACCTTATTAGAAAAACAAGAGATAAATTTATGTGAGTCAGTAAAATTAATAGATAATTTAAAGACGAAAATTAAATCGGCACCTGGAAGTAACGGTCAATTAATTTTTAAAAAAATGAAATATGTTTTCGACAAGAATGAAGGTTTTTCGTTTTTATCTAATGTTGCTAAAGTTTTGAATGGGACATTTTCCGAGGAATTTCAAATTATGCCAGATTTATTATCCGCTCTGAAATATGCTCCAATTACATCTGTCGATGTCGAACGTTCGTTTTCAATGTACAAATTAATTTTAAGTGATCGAAGACATAGTTTTAAGACCGAAAATATTGAAAAACATTTAGTTGTTTCTATTAATGATAAAATTTTAAGTGGTTACAATGTTTAATTATTAATTAACAGTTATTTAGTTACTAGTTTATTTATACTAATGTTATGATTATGATGTGTAAATATACTTGCCTTAAGTTAATATTACGTTAATTTACTTTGTACAATAAATAATAAGTTATATTCCTTTATTGCCTATATTTTGCCTAAATGTTAATATTCCTGCCTTTTTTAATAAAAATCTTTGCCTATATAGGCGCCTTTTTCTTCAATTTTTGTTGCCTATAAATCCGAGCTTTAAACATTACTGTCATATAAAATAAGCTAAACTATTCTCCGAAAAAGCCGTTCAAATACTTTGGATATAATAGGCAATAAGCTAGGTGAGCGATATGAAAATAATTCCGTGTGATCCTTCTTAGGTTTTGGAATAAGAGTAATTTGGGCAACTTTTCATTGGAGTGAAAAATAACCTATTTTTAATATTGAATTAAATATGTAAGTAATTTAACTTACGCCTTTGTTGGGTAGATTTTTTAGTACTAAACTAGATATTAATTCATATTCAGGTGACAGTTTAATTTCGAGATTTTAAATTATTTCTTTGATTTCAGATTTCATAATAGATTTAATAGCTGGATGCATTTGATATGGCGCATTTTTGACTTCATGAATAGCCTGCTCTTCTCCAACTGTGATTTCCCTCTGATGCGGTTGAAATACGTCACAGAGGTGACTTGCAAAAGTATATGCTTTGTCTATGTCAGTTTTAGCCCAAGTGCTATGTTGTTTCCTGATTGGCATATTCATTTGTTCGTTGTGTTTAAGTATTTTTGTTAGTTTCCACAGCGAATAGTTTGTATCATCTGCAGGTAAGAGGTTCTTTAAATATTTGTTAATTCCATTGTAATTATGTTAGATCAGTTTTCTTCTAAGTAGTCTGCAAGCTCTATTAAAACTTGCTTTATCTTCTGGATGCCTAGTAAGCCGCTACCTCTTTCGCAGTTTTTTTTTAATATGAGTGAATTTATGTGAGCAGGATAGGACTCCCAGTTGTGTTTGTAAGTAAATTCTACGTTAGCCGTCCAAGTAGCTTGCTGAGTTACTGTAGTTAGGTTAGCAACTGCATTTTCTATGTCGCTATCACTTTTAAGATGCAAGTTTAGGTTCATGGTTGTTTTTATTTCTTCTCTATATCTGTTTCAGTTTGTTCTTTTATTAGAAAGTATTAGATATTTAGGATAGTTATGAATTTTGCTATGTATATCTATAAAGAAAGGGGAATGATCTGATGAGAGGTCAACTGAAGGAGAAATTTGAAGATAGGTAAGATACGTAAGGTTATGATTTTGGAACTTCATTTATGATGTTTGGCATTATAATCTCCAGCAGTAATAAAACGGTATCCGAGCATCCAACAAGGTGCTGCAGTTCTCCCACTTTACCACAGGAGCAATTTGGGTTATCAGCGATACCTGTGTTGTGTTTGTATGCAGGAGTGAGTGCGTGGTTTGATCTTATTTTGTTTATTGTTTTTATAAATAACCTATTTGTCTCATATGTGAACCAGCTCTTATTGCGTATTAGTGTTTGGTAAATTCTAAAGTTTATTCTATCTCTATCTGGTTTATGTTTTTGTGGTTTTAACAAAAGTCATTGCTTCTACAATCAGTCAGAATGATGTAATTATTCATAACAATATAGGCTATATATTTTAACGAAAGAAATAAAGCTGATAGTTTGGCAGTATAATATATTGAATCATTTTGCAATCGACATGATTCTTTGTAATCAGAATTCCAGTGATATATTGCATAACCCGTTTTATTTTGAATTTTAGAGCCGTCAGTAAAAATATATTGAAATGCAGGCCACCCTATATAATGGTATATTGATCTTAGATAAATTCAATATAGAATTTCAGTAAAAACGTCCTTTACATGTGTTATATCTACAATGCCAAAAATTTCATTAATCACAAAAAGGATGTGGATAATTTAAGCCCCATTTACACGTTTCTCCTAAAATAAGATATTTTGAGAATCAAAAAATTGCCAGCCATGAATTTAAGTGATATAGTTTAGATTGATCTAGTACTTTATTATGAAGCTATTAAAAATTCACAAAAATATGTGGCCCTTCACAAAAGTGACGGTAAACTTAAGCCACAATAAAAAATCTTAGCATCCATGTTCAGAGTAAAGACCACTGAGTCCTGTATAATGATACATAGATCTTAGATTAATCCAATAAAGAATTTCAGCGCCGAATCCTCGACATGGGTTATATGTACAGTGCCAAACTTTTCATTATTTCATATATTTTCATATATTTGCCCTGTTAGATTAAAAAAATTATTATGTAAATAGTAAATTATACTTTTTTCATAAATGTCTTTATTGGAACAAAACACATAGGTAAACATTAATACGTCGTATGTGACATATTTGTTTATTGCACTATAAAAAACGTATCAGTGCAAAAGAAATAAAAATGAAATGCAATTAAGGACATCACAAATAAAATAAATATTAAATTAATACATAGTGTTAATAATAATAATATGCATAATAATAATACATATTTATAGTAAAAAATGTTAAAAAAATATTGCTTTCGATTGTAAAATCTCGAGTTCTTCATCTTGTGCATCAGGGTATACGTCTGATGCATTGCCCGTATTAAGGTTCTCATAAAATCCCCTGTATGTTGGGCCTATGTAAGGAAGTAAATCCAAGAGACCTTTTTTTTTCCTTTGCTGTCATTCGTGATTGCTGATATCTAAGAGGTGGCAAAAGTTTTCCAACCTTCCCTTGTTTCTGGAAAGAATCAGTTTGAAACTCTTCATTGCCGAGCGGTAATTTATAAAAAATAATTCCAGATTTATCTTTGCGGTAAGTTCGCCATTTAACCTGACCCCAATGCATCACGCCATTATCGTTTTTTTTTCTGGTAATTAACGATGATTTTAGTAACACAGAAAAAATAAAAAAGTGGATTTTTTCTAGCTCTATAAAATGAAATTTATTTTTTTCCACTGTCACGCATTAATTGCGCCGTCATGAGGGTGTTTAATTGGTCCATTAATTTTTTTTTGTTTTTTCTCTATAAGAGCATGAAAGCTATCGCACTACATATGAGTATAGCCGAAAATAAGAAATTTGTGACTTATCTCTTGTAGGGTACTAAAATTTTGAAGAAATACCCAGCACATAATCGCCATATGGCTATTCTGATTTTGGCCAGGGCATGAATCGAAGTACACTGTTACAGATGTTACCGTGGGCTCAAGAATATTGGTAAAATATTGCTATAAACATGATCCAATTTCGTTTGCTCCACGTCCGGCAATGGCTTCGTACCACACATAACAATAAGTTTGGATTTTGTTGCAATCAAAAATTGTTAAAGTAAAGGTCCATAGTGTCCTTTTATAAAAAGAAATTAAAGTTTTTAATAATGGAGTTGCAAGTCAAATGTTAATGTTTTTTTTGATGAATCATTTTGCGAAATTTCTTTCGTTCCGTTTTTGGTCATTAGCATGGTCAGCATCAGATTGATGTAAGTGCAGTTTCTCCTGTATCACCGTTTTGAGCTCATGTTGAGCCAACTTTAGTAGTTAGGTGAGGAGGCAAAAACTTTTTTTAAGCAATAAGTTTTGAGTGCCAGTAATTTCAACGTTATATTCCACTAAAACCTGTTTTTTGGCTGGCCTGTTGCTTCTTCTTACTAGCTCTTTGAAGGTTAAAAGATCTCCGATGTAGGCAAGCCTTCTATAAAAATCTCCTATCTGCCAATATTCGTCAAATATTTTTTCGTGCATTCGAGGAGCTTCCTCCTTTCCCTTTTTTTAACTATTTTGCCGGGTATTGTGGTATATTCTTTTCCTAAGTTTCGATTTTTTTTTCGCTCATTTCGTATCACTCGCAAATCTTCTTTAAGCCGCCGCTTTCGAATAGTACCCCTTTTTGTTAAATTACTGGTAAAATGGTTACCTGCAGAACCGCCGGAGCTACTTTCAAGTTTATTGTCGTTTCTGTTGGATGTTTCACCGTCATATTCGTTAGGCAGACCCTCCAAGATATTTTTATTTTCGGCCTCGGTTGTAGATCCAGGACAAATCAAACCTTAAAATAAAAAAATTAATTGCACGATCTGCAATAAGAATCATCCATGAAAATACATAAAAATTAATTACACATGCTGAAAGCTGACTTTTTTAAAACAAAAAGGCTTGGATAATCGAATTACTTACCTAGACATTGTTTTTATTAGGCCTCTTCTTCGTTGATGTTTTACTACGTGAGTAGTTGCCACTTTTTTCTATCGGTATGTAATTAGGATCTTGATCTAAATCATCGGATTTAAAAAATTTTCTGTATTCCTCAGGAATTGAGAGCGCAGGACTGAATGCTAAAAAATACAGTAGTAGTATAGACATTTATTTAAATTTTAAACACAGTTTTAAAATTTATGTAGATAATATTTCAAATAAACTTACCAGACGAATCATAATTTAAATCATTTGACGAAAATGTGGCCCTCGCCATTTGAATAATACATTACGTTCGTTTAGACATCTTGACCGTATCGGTGCGGATAAGAAACTAATGAACCGCTAACATTCTGAGAACGGACCTACAGTCGCCGTCGTCATCGTATCGAATTTAGTGGAAAAATACAAAATCCGTTTTAGTGACAAGAGAGTTTAAAGTAAATGAATATTGACCTGAAATAGATTAATCGCTTGTGAAAAACGTGCTAAGTACAAAAATATGTACATAACTCACATTCCACAAATATTTAGGTGACGGAAAATTTGTGCTAAGTGGGCTAAGAACATTTGACTTGATTTTCACAGGTAAAAGTTGTATTTTGAAGTTTCAACCCATGGTTTACAGTGGAATATTGACCGTAGTCATAGAGATATCATTTAGCCCATTAGACACAAAGAAAAAGAAAAAAATTAGCTTTCTAGTGATGTTGTTAGCTCAAAATTCACAAATTTGCACTTAATCCACTTTTCAGAAGTGACACAGATTTGTGATTGCTTATTACTTCCACTTGTTTCTTAAACAACGTGTTCATTTTAAGGAATTTTATTCGATTTTAAAAATTATCTTTAAAATCTTTATCTTTATTATATTTAAAATATATCGACATATATGTTTAGATGCAAATTTAAAATTATGTTTTATGTATACATTGATCTTAGTTCGCACTTTGTTTTACCACCCAAATAATTACTTTGCGGTTTGCGCTAATATTTGGGTAAGACTGAAATATACAGCGTAATTGTTTTTTTGTTCTGTAGTTTAAAGTCTGATGAACATGTAGACGAAAGTTAAGACTGTTAATAAACTACAAAGCACCCGAGTTATTTTTTCCTCATTGTATGAAATAATATGCTATCTCATATTTTAATATTTCTCTAGTACCCGTTACTACTCTTTTTGTTTATATTTATTTCCTTCTGAGACTTGACCTGATATTTTTTGTTTTTTTTTTTATTAAATAATAGAATTCGTATGATTTTGCTAAATGAAAACAAAATGTCCCTTTAAAAGGACATCAGGAATGCATCAATACAAAATTATTGTAAATACCATTGTTTAGACCAATTGTTTATTCATGTTAAACATAAAAATATTTCACATGATTCACAATAAACTTTTGTTTACCCTTACAACCTGGAAGCTTACACATCTAACATAATTTTTTGACTCGGAGTCCATTGCAGGAATGTGTTGTATCTTTTATCTGGTAGACGTTTAAAGTAATGTTATATGTCTGTAAGTGTTTCTAGTTACCAGTTAGAAATGTTCCCAAAATCATAATTTTTATAAATGTTATCTTTAAGGGGCAACTCCAAGAAACAGCTTCTTACTCCATTTTAACATCTAGGAACTTTATTACGGTTTTATTGGCATCACCAAGGTTACTTTTGGTCATCTCTGTATAGAATCCAAGAAATTATCATCGCAAGGTCGAGTAAGTAAAAAATGGTTTTGACTTTCCGTATCTTACTTCTAGTTACCATTTAATACTAGCTGACTATCCAGTCAATTAAATTTATTCCTCCCATCGGTACGTTGCACTTTTTAACAATTTTTGGTCTAGGTACCTTAACATATTGGGAGTCCTTTTTGACTGTTGCTTACATTCATCTTAAGGTTCTATTAGCAACGCAGTTGACGCAAGTACAACTGATTTTATATCATACCATTTGACTATGTTAACTTTTTCATCAGATCTTACATCTTGCTCAGAAAAACCATGAACTAATCAAATCATCATCTTATCCTAAATTACATAAACTGCTTTGGGCATCCTGAATCTTCTTTCTTTATTGTACCAGTTAAAAAAGAGTAGTCCAGTAATCCAGTATAATCCTACAGCAATATCTGAGCCGGATTAAAACGGGAAAAGTTTATATTAAGAAGAAGAACAAAAGAACAATATCCGGCAAATATATTTTTTCTAGTCTAATCCGTTTCATTACGGTGATCCATGTAAGTGTTTATATTTTTTATAAAAAAAGTTAATATTTTTTTAAAACAATACCTTAACTCCAATCTTTCGTAAACGCCGCATTATAAAAATTAAAAAGTAACATTCAGCCTTTCCTTAAAGATTTGCATATTTATAAACCTTGACGGAAATTGTACTAATTATTCATAAATTAGTAATGGTAATTAATACAAAGTAACTCGAAAAACCAGGAATAAAATAAGCAGAAATGGAAATTTAAATACCTGGGTGTGATTTTCAATTTTCCAGTGGTGTGCACACTTTCCCTCTAGCTGATGAATTAACTAGTTTTATTGCAATTGAATTGGGGAAAGTTTAATACCTTTATTATACAAATGTCCTTTGAAGATAATTGAATACGTAATCTAAGGGTCTCTTAAGTCGGTGTTAATCACAGAGTGAATATTAAATTTCAGATGCTAATTGAGTAGAAGTAAAGGTGAGGATATTTTTATGCAAATTAAATTTTTTTAATAAAATCATGTGCTCTATAGTATTTAAATTTAATAAACAATTTTAAAATCAACCCGGTCATAAACAAAACATGTGTTTAATATATTTATTTATTAGGAATGTCAGATTAAAATTAAGTAAAAAAACAAAATAAAAATAAATAAAAATAATTAAAATTAATGAAAATAAATATTCTGGCTATTCAAATTAAAATCAAATATTCAAATTAATATCTTTTATACAGAATTTTATTTTATTATGGTAGCTTAAAAATTAACTGAAATAAGGTCTTCTAAAATTCTCATTGCTTTGTGTCTGTCGCCGTTTTGGAGCCCTTTATATGATACCCTTTTAAATTTTAAGAATTTAAGAAATTCTCAACTTTTAACTTAAGTAGTTTATAAAATTCTGTTTCAAATGAATTTTGGATCTACTCTCTAGCGAAAGCTCTTGTCGCATGTTGGGGTTACTAGGCTCTTAAGTTTTACATGGTGTGAAGGCCAGCCATACTTAACACTCCTCAAAAAGTCCAGCGTTTTATATTAAAAATCGTTACTTTCTAGTTTGCCTTCTTTGAGAAGATCATTTCGGTGTCACCTATATTTTGCTTTTTTGAGTATAGTTGACTATGCTCGCTTTTTCCATACACATAGTTTTAAAAAAGTCGTGCCTAGACATCACATCCTTAATTTACTCGCACCTGTCTCTCATCCATTTTTTTTTAATAATTTTTATCTTCCTTGTATTATTTTCTGTATATATTATATTGTCTATATTCTGCTTTATTCGATTTTATAAGTCGAACTTGTTCCAACAATTTCAAGATGTCTTGTGTCATCTATTGATTGTTCTTGATTAAGTTTCTCCTACCATCATTGTTTGAGGGGATTTTCAATTGGATCTTCTAGTTATTCTCCGATTTTCTTGATATTATTATTAAATTCTTTTATAATATTATCTTTTATGCTTATATTGTCAAAATTAATTATATTGGTTTTCGGTTTTTGTAGTTGAATTTGTTTTAACTTAAGTTTATTATCTGCTTCAAGGGGATTTAATCAAGGACTAGGGACAAGGGATTGTGATCGGATCTAATATCTGCTCCTAAACATGTAGCCTAGCAAGCACGAACTTACAAGTATATACAATCTACTTGCTTTTTTAAAGTCACAGGACTTCTGCCATTTTAAAATGGGGCTTTTCATGTATATATTGGTCGCTTTGGTATTTTACACTAAGTGTTTGCAATGAGCATGTCGTTATCGTTACAAAATTCCCACAATCTCGGTCTTCGATCGTTAGTTTGTCCAACAGTTTAACCTCTTTATCCCTCTCTAGATTTTGCACTGAAGTCGTCTATAATAGGTATATGAAATTTTATGATTATTACGCTTTCTGTAAGATAACTAGAATTTAACCATAAAGCTTTTCAACTTCATCGTCATATTTTCAATCCGAAGTTGGCGCATGTATTTTAAATATATTGGTTTTGAATAGTTGAGTATTTATTTAATTAATATTGTCTTATTCAAAACTGCTACAAAGTTGGTCATATATTTACTCAGTCCTGATTTTACTAATATAACTACACCATTTTTCTGATGCGGGTCTTCAGTGCGATTTATTATTATCATCCGGGTTTTATTTATGACGTCCACTGCTGGATAAAGGCCTATCTTAAACTCCTTTTATATTTGCCATTTTATGCTCTTTATTGCCAATATTTCCTGATACGCCTGATGTCGTCAGCCCAACGTGTAGGTGGTCTTCTTCTACTACGTTTGTCTACTCTTGGCCTCCAATGTGTAATTTTATTCATTCATCGTGAGTTATGCATTCTCGCTACATGGTGAGAAAGCCATCTCTGTGCGATTACCGGAATAATATAATACACTACCATGCCTTTTACATATCCCTATCTATCTATCTATCCAATCAGCCTTAAACGCCCACTCTTGGGCATAGGCATCGAGCAAAAAGACAAAAGAGGGAATCTAATCCTTATGAAGAGGAGACCAAAAAAGTGGCCTCTGATGGCGGACATAACCGGAAATGCGAATGCGCCAAATTTAAATTTTTCGACACTTATTAACAGTAGCTATATATTATTTTTCAGAATGTGTCTTAGACGAGAAAGTTTTAATTAATTATTAACGGTAATAGTCTAAAATGCGACACAACTGTTAAAAAACTTCAATATAAATAAGATTTCATGTGACATTTGGGACAAACAACAACATAACCCAACTAAATTTGATGACAAACAAGGAGAGAGACTCTCTTTCCTTGTTTAATGTGGCATCTAAAGATCGCACTTCCTGTCTAACAATATTTTTGCCCCCACTACCTTTACTCTCCTTTTTTTGTCTTTTTGCTCGATGGACATAGGCCTCCCCTGTTAATCTCCATTGGTCTCTATTTTGGGTGATCTGCATCCAGTCCTTTCCTGCCGTTCTCTTAAGATCGTCAGTCCACCTCATCTGTGGTCTTCCTCGTTTTCTTTTCTTTTTCCATGCTCTGCAGTGTAGAATTCGCTTATTCCATATTTCATCTTTTTGCCGGAGAG